ATTTTTATCTTTTAGCAGCTTATATACACAGTACTAACGTTTTCTGGTGTACAGACGACTATGAGAGTTTGGGTAAATCTGGAGTAACGCTAACTTAAATTTACAACAAAGCAATAAACAAAGAATACAACTTAATAAGATTTCTGGTAATATATTTTCATTATATAATAAGTTGGCTGGCTGGCTTTTAATATTCTCGGCCGTCAGCTTGAAGGCATATAATGCTAAAAAAACGGAGTTTGATACTTGACGTGGGGCATAGTACAAATAACCCATTTTATAGCTTTGTGATTAAAAACAAATAACAAAGCTTTTAATACATATCAGAGAAACGTTTGGTATAAACATCTGAATACTATGTTTTACTCCTACAGCGGCTTTAAGTGGCACTTCATGATATTAGAATTACTGGTTTTGAATTATTTCGTTATATCTCTTACACCGAATTTCATTACGAAGATCACAGAAGAATGTAATAACTTTTCAATTCAGTCATTCCTTTTGCGGTTAAATTGTTTCTTTTATTATTTAAAAAAATAACTTTCATTGGATTAAATTTCAGTCACATTTTCAATCTACCTTTATGAAAAAATAATACCCTCTTATTAAAAACGATACTTACCGAGGGAATAAACTTAAAGATATATCATCAGCCATTGATTATAAACCAAATATGTTCCATATTCAATGAAATTTTTGTATTTTTTGAAAGGCTCGTTTAGACGTATGCAATCGAAATTACAATTATACCAGAATGGTACTTCATGCACGAGTGGAAACAGTATTGATTTTATAATCCTTATTCTTAACTATATGCAGTCTGTATGGTTTTGACAAAGTAAATAATGACTTAATAAGACGTTGGTGTTAAATTATCGATTATAATTGCGAGTATCTGTTAAAGCAGGATAATCTTCCAGATTCTTATATTTTCAGGCATTCGCAACGTATACAAAGAAATTATATGCACTATATAATCGAAGTTGTTAAAAAACAGCAACGTTATCATTCATATCTTAGACAGGTAAGCTAATATCATAATTAAATTTATATATATATATACGTATTCATTTTCAGTATATGTGGTTTATTTTAAAAGGAATGCAAGAAAACATTGAATATATAATAAAGCAATTACAATAAACAGTAAAACTCAGTAAGGGTTGAATTTATAATATTGGTCCTTTTCGTTTTGGCTCCACTCCAGAAAGTTAGTTTTAATAATTTTTGGAAAGGAAGATAGTTAAGTATAATTTTATATTAGTTATTTGTAAATATATATCAGGTATAATTTGCATAAATTAAATAATTGTACATTGAACTAAATACAGTTTTGGTTAATTTTCTCACATATACAATATTTTATGTAAAATCTGCCTTTTCTGAACAAGTTTTATTTTGCGAAGAAAAAAAAGAAGTGATTCTTGAATTGTGTTTAGAGATTTTATTTAAAGTGGACAAGAATATTGTTTGTTATATGGTTTTTATTAACGTCAATTATCGTTTTTGGATGTAGTTGATGGCAAAAGAAGATGTGGATTGGAAACTAATGTTTCTTTGTTTTCGTTTGCTTTTTTATAAATCTATTAATTTTCGTTGTTATCTTGATTTGAATAGTCTTCATCCTAGGCATATCAAAATAAGTATTCATTTTACACTAGCAAAATAATTATTAAAACAATAAACAATTAAAGTAAATTCAAATTAAAACTTCGATAATTTAATACATTTTAACTTAATAGAAATATTCAGAGAGCATTTTATAATAATATTTTACATGTCGAAACACTTGGTCCTTCAAATCAGAAGTGATGACTTTACGACTTATTGTTCTACTTCAAGAGTAAATTCCAGTTTTATTAAACATATTGTGAGAAATTCTGTAGATAAACATCAGAAAGACTCTCAAAGTAAGTTTAAGTAATATCAGTTTACAGACAACCAAAAGAAATTGAAAATATCTTTGTAGTATGTTACTGGTGGTTTTAAATGTAAGATTTACAAAAATACAAATAATAATGGATCCGTTTAAGATTAATTGAAAATGTAATTATAACTTATTTGGATGTATTTATGCTTTAAACAACTTTTACCACACGTATTCAATATATGAAAATGTTAATAAACCTCAATGAGTTTAAAGGTCTTTGTTTTCTTTACAAGATTTGTTTAATTTTCTTGTTTTATTCTAAAGTTTATTTCGTTTGTATCAATTTGTTAATATTTTAAACTTTTATTTTCTATGCAATTGCTTTAACTTTTACGATGATTCAACTATATTTGAATTAGAATGCGCCTGTTTCTATTTTATTATTATTTATCTGTGTGAGATTTGTTTGTTGTTTGTTTATTGTTAAGCACAAAGCTACACAAATGGGCTATCTATTAGGTGCCTACTGAGGTTATCGAAACCCGATGTTTAGCTTTATAAGTCATCAGACTTACCGTCTATGTATCGTTACAGATACTCAGTTGCCTGAAGAATTAGTTGTCTTTGAACGGGTAAACATTACCGTAGTTTTATATTGAAGGCTAACTCTGACAGCAACTATTTTTTCGTTTTCAGTTTTTAGCTGCGGTATAGCAGCTCATAGCATGTCTCTGAGGTTTTTGTTTTTTCAAGTAAAAACTTTTAGCTCATAGCTCCGTAATCTCTTGGCCAATTTGAGATATAATTACAGTTTTGGACTCAAGAAGTCAAACCCTTTCGATTGATTTATTTAACCACGCTCAAGGTCTCATAGATTAATTTACTCTAATCGTGCCTAAAAAAAATCAAATTGAGGGTAGGCTGGTAGAAATTCTGATGAGTAATAAAATTTAATCGGGTTTTAAGTGCGTCCCATGCTTGATGCTGGCGCAGAAAAATATACAGTGCCTTGCAAACGTATGCGCCCCCTACCAATAATGTCAAATTTTGATGACAAAGGAATAACATAAACAGTTTTTTTAATGAACTTGTTTTTATTCACAGCTCTAATGATCAAACTTAACACTGTTATGTGTGAAGGAGGTTGGATGTCAGCAAAATCTGCAAAGAAAATACATAAATTGAAATTTGCTGATTGCATAAGTATTCAGCCACTTAATTCATTGCTTGGTGAAATCACCTTTGTCAGCAGTTACTGCTGTGAATCTTTTTGTATGGGTCTCTACCAGCTTTGCATAATAGGATAGTGTAATTTTTGCCCATTTTTCCTAGCAAAATTGCTCCAATTCTGACAAGTTCGTTGGAGATCGTTGATGAACTGCAATCTTCAAGTCTTGCCATAAATTTTATATTGGATTCAAGTTAGGACTTTAACTGGGCAACTCCAGAACATTCACTTTCTTCTTTGGAAACCACTCCAATGTAGATTTGGCTTTGTGCTATTGGTCATTGTTCTGCTTAAATGGGAATTTTTGACCCAGTTTTAGATTATTGGCTGACTCAAGCAGGTTTTCCTCTAGGAATCGCCTGTACTTTGCACCATCCATCTTCCCCTCAATCCTGACAAACTTCCCAACCTCTGGTGATGTGAAGCATCCACATAACATGATGCTGCTACCACCATGCTTGACAGTTGGGATGGTGTTGACAGGGCGATGTGCTGAGTTGGGCATGCGCCAGATGTAACGCTTTGAATTTACACCTAAAAAGCTGAATTTTTGTCTAGTTTAACATAAAAACCCTTCTGTCACACGTCTGCAGTATCATTTACATGATCTGTCGCAAACTCCATGCAAGATTTAAGATGATTCTTTTTCAGTAATGGCTTCTTTCTTGCCACTCGCCCATACAGGCCAGCTTTGTGTACAGACCGGGATATTGTCGATGTATGAACACTGACTCCCATCTCAGACATGGAACTTTGCAACTCTTTCAAAGGCACTGTTGGCTTAACAGTGGCATTCCTAATTAGTTTTCTGCTTGCCCGGCTACTTAGTTTGGAAGAGCGGCCTGATCTGGGTAGTGACTAGATGTTATGAAGCACATTCCACTTCTTAATGATGGACTTCATTGTACTCAAAGGGATATCCAGCGACTATGAAATTTTCTTCTAATCTTCTCCTGATCTGTGTTTCTCTACCATTTTATCCCGACTTGTTTGGAAAGCTCCTTGGTCTTCATGGTTGGTTTGTCGTATCACTATGTGAGTTGTGGTTTGAACAGATGCATTTACTCAGAAGTTAAACACTTTGATTACACACAAACAGAGATCATTACTCTAATTTTGTGACATTTCAAACTAATCTTTTGCACCTGAACTGACTTAGAGTTAGAAAAAAATAAGAACGCTATTCTTTCATCCTAAATGTTTTCTATGTGCCCGACTGATTGTAAAAAGTAAATAATTCTTCAACAGTTATACAGCAGTATAATAAGGCCACAATTGTTGCGAAGGTAATGCCAATAGATAAAATTCATCAGTTGGAAGGTTTAAACCTGCATATACGTATTCATGATGAAACTACTAAGCTTGATGTTTCACACTTTTTAAAGACGTGATATCGCTTAAACCTATAATTATTTAGTTGTATAACATCGGACACAATGATATTTTTTTTTCTTTTTAAAGCAAAATTATTTGTGGTGATTAATTCAAGTTAAAATATCTGTGATATAAGTAGTCTTGTTTGATATTCCAATCTGGAAAGTTCCCCGGTGGCTCATCAGTAAGCTGCTAAAATTCTGGGTTCGTTTCCACGGTCGACGCATAGCAGGTAGCTTATTCTAGAGCTATAACGTATAAACCCAAAGCGGAAGTATCTGTATTCTTGGTCGTTTTTATTATTTAACTGAAATTGACCAAAAATTAATAATTACTTCCTAACATACAATTTCGATCACAAGAAATATTTCATGCAATTTGTATAAAACGACAAAGGTTGTTGACCGTCTCATTTCAGCATAGGCTTAAAAATACGTCTTACAGTTATATAAAGAAACATAAACTAAAATTTGATAAATATATTTAGTTATAATAAAGGACAGAAATTAATGTTTATGCTTTATATATTTCACCGTTTTTACCATGTAATTTACTTGGTTATGCTGTCACTTAATTTGTAATACTTGATATAAACCATTTAAGTACTGAAGTAAGACTTTTCTAAGTCATTTCATGGTTCTTTATGGGACACTTAACCGTGTCTTTTTTAATTGGTGTTTTATTACTGAGGTGCGATTAAACTGATAGTCCTATCGTTTTTTTATACTTCTAAAGAAGTGTTTTTCTATTGATTGTGGTAATAAAGTACATAATAACAGATATGTGGATCCACGCTTATAATATAAGTTTAACTTTTAGGGTCTTCCCGTGCTTATTCTATAGAACATTGTTGATCTGAAGAGAGATCACTATGTTTATCGCTACAGAAATGGTTAAACTAACAATAAATAAAATGCGTATTCAACCCAACATGAGCAACGATTTTCGATACTGCTGCGAACCATCCAATTGTGTTGGTTTTGGCTGTTGGCCAAACAGTTTGAACTAAGACGAATTATTAGTCTCCTTCTCAACAGCTGGCCTATCAACTTGTCTGTTCCCTCAAAAAGTGAGGAAACTTTTCCAATAATCTTCGTTCAAGTGGTTGATTTCAAAACTTACATGTTACTTCTAAGCCTATCAGTGTAAGATGTAAAAACTACCCCCTGAGAAATGTTTCTTGTCATCGAAAACTGCGTACCTTCCGATCCCCTCTCGTCGTTTATCAATAGTCAAGTTTGTAGTCTTTAACCTTCGAGTTCATAAATCAGTCTTCCATGTGTAAAAAAGAAACTTGTACTCCCGTGTACACGTGCTACACTTAGCTCAGATAGAAAAAGTCATGTTTAACTTTTATGCTGAGCCATCCATAAGTTATTAAATCCAAGCGAATAAATTTATGAGATACTATGAAAAATGAGCCATACGGAATATACTAAAGAACAAATAGAATATAAAACGTTGTTTGGAATCAGTTCGTCATAAAATTGCAGTAAAATGTTACATTTAGCTTAATTAAACAATTGGAATTTACATGTTCGCAAATACAATT